CTCGCACACGTCAAACTCTTTAAAAGAGTCAAATCAGAACTCAAGTTTGTGGGATGGGCTTCTGAAAGACGAGACCTACACAGACAGGTAGCTGCTGGATGGATTTCATAGGATGGATTTTTATGAGCAATTACAGCGTCAGTGAATCCATTTGTATGTTGATGAAATATGCTCACCCTTTGCTGTAAGTAGTGCTTAGTCCATTGAGTCCAAGTCTTTTGTTACAAATGCAATTACACTGGTTTGTTTCGTCTAACTTACTCCGTCTGCTAGATAATGACCTTAAGGAGGAATCTCCCTCCTCCCATCCTTTCCAATCAATGCCACTTCATGCAGTGGTTTAGTGGCACTTCATATTGTAAAGCTCTGCAATCACTCAGCATCTGATAAGGAGCACAGCTTAGGGGTATACCGGCCATTCGTCCTGCTAGCTGAACATACAGCACCGACCATATGGAAATCTGCATGTTTTTCAATATGGATAGATTAAACTACATGCAAATGTGGGCTTATGAAACCTCCATATATATTTATATATGTGTGTAAGTATGAGTCAAAGACATCCTCATCCTGACAGTCGTTTCACTGGGACAACCTCCATCTCTACTTATATATATATACACTTGCATACTGTTATGTAAAATCTCCTTCACAGAATCTCTTTTCATCTCTTCCACAAAAATTTCCGCACATTAGTCGAGCCATTCTTGGGCTTCTGTTCAATTAGACCTTCCTTCAACACCCAGCCCGATGCTGCGCGGACTCCCCGGCTCCTCCACGCGGGACGAAAATAACATTTTAATTGCGTAAAAATAAAATAAATAAGTGTGTAATGATAGAAAAAGAAAGCGATTAGAGCAGGAGCTCAGTGGCAAATAGAGGAGCCTATGCGGCTGAAAGCGTGATAATTAGACATTCCTTTCTGCGTGTGCCAGATACACAGATTCACTAATGTGCACTGTGCAGCCTCCCTACAACCGAGAAGCTTATGGCCACGGAATGAGGCACCCCGCGGGCTAAATTTAACTTTTCTTAAACAAAAGCAACCTTGTCTCTAACGCTGTTTCCTCTGCTGCCAAAAACACAGATTTAGCAATGTGTCCAATGTGCATTCATGGTAGGTAGAAGCGTTGGCATGAGCCTCTTCCTTCAGTTTTCTCATTCTTTCTCTGTCCTCAATGAGACCAAGCATTCATTCTGTTTTTTTTTGCTGTCTGTGTGTGTGGAAACACATTTAGCTATTATAAAGCACAGTGTTTGTTTAGGTCCTCGAGATTTCAATATGAAAGAAGACAGCCAGCAGGAATTGTACCTGCCAGTGTCTTGCTTTGTCCATAGGGGGCAATAAGCATCACTGCTAGACACAACTGCACAAATCTGTGCTTGGTTCTTAAATCAAAGAAATACTACACGCCATTATAAATCAGTGACAGATTTTCTAATGAACACTCTCCCTGCATTTGTCACTTTCCTCTCATCCGCATTAACCAACATGCCAATAAGCAATATTCATGCATAATTGCTGGCCAGGAACGACGTATAAATCAATGCACGTCATCATTCGCTATCGCGGTCGAGCACATTGGCACCAGATTATGCGCAGTCTATCATCTCTGCATCTCTAATGTAATATCAATAGAGTTGGGGAAGGACGTTTAAAAGAAGAAGAAGAAAAAAAAAAAGAAGCAAAGCCACGACCTCGGTAAAACCTCAGTGGGTTTGCAGAAATTGAAAAACCCCATCAAATAACTCTTCAGTCACGGTGCATGCAAACCTCATCCATCAACATCAGGGTGTCAGACAGGATGATGAGTGGAAGTGGACAGCAACAAGTCGGAGAAACTTCTTGAAACTTGCACAGAGAGCGAGCGGTGACGCAACACGTTGGAAAGATGGTGGAACGCCGGATCGCAGCGAGACTGCTGTCATTAAAATTGTTACTTTTGTGTGCAACAGCGGCACATTTAAAGTGTAAAGTCGAGGAAAATTACTGAACAAACTGGAGATGGGACAAAAGATAAGGTAGTGCAGCAGAATAGCAACTGTTTAAGTAGCTATAGCAATCATATGTTGAAAGCGAATTGGATATTTGTGCATGATAATTACATTTCATGATGTTATTATGTAATAAACATGAGCATTTGAAGGTTGTTTGCTCTGTGGATTTAATTATGACCTGGTTATTATGTTCTAATTGTTCATTTGAGGCATTTAAATAAACCCTCTTGCTGTGGTTTGAGAATCCAAAAGGTGTTTTTGTGTTCCTGCAAATTGTGTTTTCTGTGACAACATGCTGTCAAAGAATTTCAGTCTCCAGGTAAAAAGAAACGACTCCTCTATGATTTATGTTATGCAGTCATTGTAGCAGATGGCACCCAGCCAAGATCAATTATACACCAGAAATGAACATTTTCAGAAAATGATGTGTTTTTTTTTTTCTTTCAACTAAATTCCAAAACAAAGCAACTGTGATCACTTTGATTCTAGGTTTCTTGTGAACTTAATTTGGATGAAGCTTTTTTTTTTGCCAGATGGATAAACACTAACTATTCTTCACATAGAAAACCTGGACTTGTTAGTGTTCACTTGTTCCCCCGCAGTGCGATTTCAAAGCAACAACAGAGCAAAGCAGCAGCAGAGAAACTTTCTAATGGATTCCAGACTGTAGCAAAATGCAAATCCTCCTTCTTTTTTTTCTCTCCCCCATCTTTTTTTTTTTTTTTGGCAACATACCAAATCAGATTCCTGTATAGGATCAGAACCAGCATCGACTTCCACACGTGGGAACAATCCTTGGCAGAAAGAGCGACTAATGCGACATCAGTCCCTTTTTTTGTTTAGCTGCCATCTCTTCAAACAAAACCAGGTACCGACTTAATCAAGGTCAAGCCGCTGCACTCATTCATGCGCACAGCTCGGTGTGAATAAATATCCAGTGTGCGCACAGATGTTGGTGCTACAGGTGAACTGTATCAGACGGAGATGGTGATAAAATATGAAAATACGCAAATAACCACCTCAATCAAAAATGACCTTAAATTCTCTGCAACAAGGAGGCTCAAATAGACATGTTTCATCTCTTCTCCTGCGCAAACATAACAGTCACAATCACAGAATTGTTCCTTTTCTCCTTATTTAGAAGCAGAGTCTAAACATCGGAGTAATCTCATTTCCTCCCCACATAGTATAACAACTAACAAATTACTTTTCCATCTTCATCTAGAACCCCTTGTACTGACTCTAACTTTTAAAATATTATCAGTGATTTTTAAATGACCGAACCTACCTCAAGCCATCACAAGTGGACCGCGTTCCACTGCACTGATTCATCCAGTCAAATGATAGGAGGAGTAGACATCTGCGTTTTTTGGCACCCCTTTGAGGCGCACAGACACGACTAAACAGCTGCAGTTGTGTTCTAAAAAAAAATGTGCAGTTCGCTATGTTGCGTAAAATTGTGGAGTATAACGCAAACGCAGCGGGATAGAATCAGCTTTACCTTTTGGGTACCAAGCCCTCCGGTGGTTTTTATTAGCGACAAGCTCACTGTACGTCATTCAAAAGATGATTTGACACATCCTTTCTGTGCGTAAAAAAAGAAAATCTCAACTCTAACAACCGCAGTCTCAGAATCCGACACAATCTCAAGTCTGTTCTGTTGCGTTGCGCTTTTACGCACGTCTGGTGTGGCTGCGACGCGAAATCATCTGTTAATCTCATTCTAAAAGACGGTCGCAGCTCTCAGTGCGTGTGTTAAAGCATCACACTGTGCTACGTTGATTTTCATACAGACTGAAAACGCAGGAATTGGTTATAAACGTGCATTTGTGCATCCTCCCGCGGCCATCAAGAACGCTGAGATCAAAAATCGTTGATCGATTTGATGAGACGGGAGAGGAAACGGCTTCTGGGCGAATACAGACAGATCTGCATCTGTAAAACCAAATTAACGACTGTACATCAGGGTTGCAATGCAAAGGGAGAAAAATCTAAAGAGGAAATCTAATTCTGTGGCGATTCTTTTGGTTCTGTGTGGAGAAGTGAAACCAGCTGTTTCATCGCGGCAGTGACACGATGTGCAGGACGCTGTTATCCAAAGCGCATTAGATTCCCAGGAGCGCAAACGGTTCTAGTGAACTGTTTGGCATTTCTTTAGTAAAATAACAAAACCAATGGTGGCGAAACGGGTTTAAATAGCAAAAAGACGGAGAATATCCAGGAAGAGGAGTATAACGTGCGTATTTTGTTGGGTATTTGATATGAAAACGCGCGATGTAGGCGCACAGTGGCTGTCTTGTATTGACCAAATGAATTACATTTAACCATACAGGGCACTGAGAACCACAAACGCAATACGAAAACCACAAATAAAGTTCTGCTGTCCCCTCTTCCCTTCAGATGTGCCATATGGCACACAGGCAGCTGTGGATCAGCCGCAAAATATTTCATTGTCTTTGTGTTTATCATGCAAAGCTTCCTCAGCACAGTGAGGCTTGTTCGATATTTCTGGTGATCACAACGTTTCCAACTGGGACCCAGGTTTGGGATGTTTTCTCTGCTGAGTTGAATTATGTGAAAACTAAGTTGTGCACTTTTTCTCAACCTGGCTGACTAAAACCAAATCTGAAATCTTAAAGAAAACACACTCAGAACAGCGCTGTGATCGTCGAGTTCCCATATTTGGGGCTTTTTACGCACTGGAGGATCACAGGTGTCGATGTGGCTGTTTGGTGAGAAACCTGAGGGGTGTATGGAGACAGACAGCCCGCATCTGAGAAGTGTGAGGTTCAACCTCTGGTCACAACCACTGCTGGAGTGTCCTTGAGCAAGGCAGCTTAACCGAACCTTTCTCACAGTAGCGCTCAATCCCCTGGTCTGGGAGCTTTAGATAAACCTGCTTCAGAAATATCGACTCCTGTGGATTATCAGTGTCCATTGTGAAGAAAAAAAAATAAAGGTAAAAAAAAAAAAAGAGAAAAGAAATCGGCTCTCATTCTTACCTGCTTTCATGCCGTCATGCTGGTGGCGTCTTTTGGTCCGCTTCATCGCACCGTGGCTGCATGTCTGAGGACATGCTTCTGGAGACAGGCTTTGGAGACGAAAAAGCGCCTCGGCTGCACGGGAGAAAGTGGGGAGGGAGGGAGGGAGGAGGAGGAGGAGGGGGAGTGAGAGAGAGAGAGAGAGAGAGAGAGAGAGAGAGAGACAGAGAGAGAGAGGGAGAGAGCGAAAGAAAGGGAGAGAGAGCTCCAAGAAGTGGGCTGGCATTTCTTTGACGATAATAACAGTCGTTATTTGCCTTTTTAGATCCAGGGATGCCAGTCTGACTTCAGCAACACGTGATTTAAAAAAAAAAATAAAAAAAAAAGCAACTTCGCACTCAGCTTCAAATTTCGTCAATACTCCAATTAAACCTGCAGAATCAGACACATGCCACAGATTTTCAGGGGAAACGAGCTCATTCGGCCCATTAGTACTGGTTTCACAGCGCTGCACTTTTTCATATATTTATTCCACTGACTGGACTCAACTTCTGTATTTAATTTGTTTGTAAGTTTTTGGGAGAAAGCTGGTGGATTTTGTGTGATGTTACAATTTTACGCACGAAAAAAAAAAAGCTAGACGCACACTTTGTGGTTTCAGCACCGAGGAGAGCGCATTTTTGGAGATGGGGAGCACGATGTTTGCTGATAACCTCTGCAAAAAAAGGAAAGAAAAGAAACTCTCTTCATCCAAAGCACTTTACAAAGTGTGCAAACTTGACATTGTTATGCAGCATTTGAGCCAACAAATCACCCTCAGTTTAATCTTGCAGATAATTCTACACTCAAACACAAGTAGGCACAGGGAGGATTTATTACAGCTCAAGACGTGTTGCTTTTTTTTTCTGTCCATGAACCCAATTCCTAGCAGGGAGCCTGTTGAATATCTCAACTCCTGGACGAGGAGACCTGCTTTTTGTCAACTTGTGTACACCATCTGGCCTGAGCTGCTCCCCCCTTCTCTCTCTTAAAGACAGCTCTCACAGCCAGATGACTCCTTTTTATCATAACTGACCGCCACTTATGGAGATCTACCTGCTTAACACTTGTTTGAAAAGCTGAATTCCTGCTGGATTTATTTGCAACTTTACACTTGGAGATCAGGCTGCTGGTACCAAAGGATTAGTGTAATTTATATATATTTTATACCTTTTTAAAAAACAAAAAAAAAAACTGCCATACAGCCACAATTGTTTAAAAAAAAAGAGCAGGGGAATGTTTTACTGACATCTACTGGGGAATTAGTCTCAAAAGACTTCTTTTTCCTCATAACAGGTCATCTGCCACCAAGGAGGCAAAACAAAGGCAGGTTTTAAACCAATCAGCTCTCACTGTTGGACAGGTAACTTTATTTTAATGAATATTAAAGTTAAAAAAAAAAAAGAAGGAGCCGTTATCGCCTCTCCTCCCTCCTCGGCTTCATGCCAGATCTTTATCTCATCACCGTTAAAGAGTTTTATGCGTTTTCAAAATTCAGCGAAGAAGCTATTAGGCGCAGTTTGAATGCTGCCATCCTGAACCTCAGCTGTCAATTAAAACACATCAAGTGGCAGGAGTTTAGGGGTTCAGGAAACACACTGTAGTTGAATTATTTAACAATGTGGCTCATGTAGCGGCAGAGAAATTGTTGAAATGTGGAGAGGTTGCATATGAAGTAAAAAAAACAGGCATGTGGTGACGGATGTCAAACACGGTTTTACATATTTTAACTGTGAAAGGCGGTGATGTAAATGATCCAGGTAGGCTGCTGTGTTAATAGAGCCACAATAATAAGACTCGTCTGTTTTCTCGCTGCTAAATCCTATCTGATGGCTCGAGCCAAAAAAGCATGTTGGGTGACAGTCAAAACACCCACCGCATGCTATAGTTGTTCCTATTCACAATGCAGCTGTAACACATGACTCACAGTATATGCACACATGCTGCTCATTACTCTTAAGAGCTTGTGTGTGCGGTGCAGGTATTACTCATGGTGCGGGGACTTCAATCTACTGGGGACAAAAAGCAAGTGTGCACACCAAATGTTAAGGTTAAGCTTTAAGATAATGAATGCAATGTCCTCTGAAGTCACGGATACGCAGCCATGTGTGTGTGTGTGTGTGTGTCAGTGCTGTGAACAGGCACCTAAACGGCCGCGGATGGATCACGTGTCCAAAACGCACCTGTGTTATGCTGATGAACAGCAGAGCCTCAAAGGCCGACTTGAGTGCATCGCAATTAGTTGCAGAAAATCACAGTTATAATGGACTCGCTGGTGCCAAATTAAGAGAGACACGGTGAACAAAGCGTTATCTAATGCACCATCCTGTAAATGGCAAATACATCAAAGTGCATATATAATAATCTAGTGTTGATGCACTTTACTTTAACGCGGCGGAGGACCACCGAGGCTTCACCTGCCTCGACTCGAATCTGTTCGCCTGTTGCGAGTTTCCAACCCCAACGCCTCTGCTCTCGGCGTCTTTGTGTGTCCTGACTGACAAGGAAAAGACAGAGAGTTTAACATAACGCATTGGAATGCATTAGGGCCACACGGAGAGAACGCGGTGAATTAATGTGAAAACACGCATTTGAATTTCAATTTTTTTTTTTACCCTGAAAGAATATATTCAAAATACCATAAAGGTTTTAAACTGTATGAAGAGGGAAGGACTGATTTGCAATTTTTGTCAAAGACTGGAAACTTGATTGTTCAGTCCATCATCATTATCCAAAAACCCGCAATTTTCTTTTAAAAACCAACAACATCACGCCTGTAAAACAAATGCTTTCTGCTGGAATCAAGACGAATCCCTTTTGCAGGCCGGTTTTGTGTATATACTGTATTTATTTTGGCTGTTTCTGTTTGGTTGAACACTACGGTGCACTCCCTCTTTAAATCTTAAAATGCATCTCTGGGGCGAAGACAAACAGAGTCCTGACATTAAGAAGAGAAAACAGTAAGAAGAGGTTGTCCTCCGGTGGGTTCACACTATTGACACTAAATTAATCTTTTATGTGGAAATTTCAAGACAATAACACCTTTTTTGTTTGTTTGTTGAGCATTAGTTTGTGTTTAGAGGGCTTCTTGTGGGCAAAGTTATTGTGTTTGTACTGTTTTCATTGTGCAGGTTTAGCTCGGCCATGTCAGCGACGCGTGTCAAAAATTTCAATTAGATTCATTTTAAATTAACAAACAAAATAGTTACACCTCTGCTGTCACATTTAGTGCAGCGATAAATAGCCTCAAAATGAAATAAATGTGCAACGATCTTAGATTTCCCCACAAACGTGACGTCGTCGGCCTCTTTAAGTTGCTCCAAAGCTGCATTAGTCGCCACTCTGCGTTTCACTAGTTCAAGTGTAGTTAAACGCGACTGTCAGACAAGAGGAGCGCTCGAGAACCCTTATTGATTATTGGGCTGTCAATCAATGCGAACATCTGTCGAGAGACTCTAAGTTGCTGTTGGAAAAAAAAAAACAAACCCCTGAAGTGCCACTTTATTAAACAGAAGGCTGAAATAATCCTTATGGCGTCTTACAGGAACTCCCCACCGCGGATCTCTTTCCAAGCTCTTCAAGCTGGGGGAGGATTGAGCAGATGTAGGGAGGTTGATCCTTTGATCGCTTACTAAAAATATAAAAGAAGAAAAAGTAGTGCGGGAGGTTGGTGGTGGAAAATTTTCGAAACTTGAATGTTGTGATTTTCCGCTTGAAATTGAAATTCGGATATTTTACTTCCAAAGTTGAAGAGTTAGAGTCTAGAATGTGCTCAACAGTCCATCTGAGACGTGAACTTGAAAATCTTTGAGGATATATTAAAAGCTTTTGCACTGATTCTTTAGACGACTTAATTAAAAATAAATAAATAAAAATTCTTCATCAGTTTTAACAATATTGTCATTGTTCTTTTTTCACAAAACAATTTCCCATCAAAAATTAAAAATAAATAAAATAAGAGGAAAAAGGGAAAAAAAGAGGAGAAAAAACAAACAAAAAAAAACCCATTAAAAAAAAAAAAAAAAAAGTAATAAAAAAGACAAAAACAGGAGGTCATTTAGGACATTAGGACCATTACATGCTTTTTAATTTTTATGTACACAACCCATTTGTCCCAACATGCTACAAACCAGTCTTGTTTTTGATTCAGACGACTTCATTTCCACTCAGACAAACACGCAACTTGAAACTTTTCTCCCTGAGTTATTCTGAAGGAGGAACATCCTGTAAACTTATGAAGTGCACTCGAGCTCTCGAACAACCCCGTAACTCTTCTTCTACTCCGTGACACAAAGGGAGCGAAGTAAAGTGGCCAATTCTGTTTCATAACATGGCGAATCAATGAGCCCAAACATAGGATGAGTCGTGATATCAGGTAAATGAGCTGCAGGAGGACCGTTTTGTCTTAATCAGCTTTGACAAGTCGCTGGCGAGCCGATTCCACCATCCTCTGAGGACGAAGCCCCCGAACAAAACACGAGAGGAGGGAGGCGGTATAGGAAGAAATACAATACGCACAAATCAATAAGCCAGGACGGGGGAAGGCGATTTACCTGCGCGCGACGCCAAACTGCTGTCACAACAACGCGACGCGCCGGCTAATTAACTGCTCTCATGAAGCCGCGCCGAAGACACGAAGGCTTCATTTTTCACGTCGTTGGTGTTCGGTGTTTACAAAAAAAATCAGTTGTTTTTGCCTTTTTCCTCCCCTATAGGCCAATTTCTCTTGTTCTCATGTTTACTGTCTGGCACAGTGCAAGCGAAGGAGCCGTTCTGTTTGCATCAAGTATGTTTCACAAGACTCTGGTGACCTCGCTATGATTTATTAAGATATAAGTTTGGTTCTGCGGAAGCATTAACACAGCAAATCTAGTACCTGAGTGCTCTCTAATACCTGGCGTGAACCCAAAGTTATGCTTTACGTGTTTCACTTCACACTTTAAATCAGACTTTCTGAACCCTCAAACCTGTTTTTTCTACTTTTTTAATGCAGTTTTCTTTAACGATTAACGTGAGACGCCCTTTTCCTCCCCGCCGTATGAAATGACTGTCTTTATGATCACATTTTA